TCATTGTCCCGTGTACATCAGGAGCTGTACAACTGGTGCTATTTTGACCACGTGTGTTACCACGTCTGCTATTTCATCATGGATAGCAAATTAGAACAAAGAGCAAACATGAAATTCTACATGAAGCTGGGCAAATCTGCCACAGAGACATTTGACACGATTCACCAAGTTTACAGCATTGCCGCAATGAGTCGTTTGAGGTGTTTTGAGTGGCACACGCACTTCAAGAGCAGAAGAACATAACCTGAAGATGACGAGAGATCAAGAAGAGACCTTCAATGAGCTCAACCACCAAAAATGTCAAAATGTTGAAACCATTTGGCATCTTGTGCATGATGATCGTCAGAGAACAATCCTCAACATCGCTGCCATTGTCGGTGTGTCATACAGAACAGTCCAGGCAATCCTCACGTGGGATTTGAACATGTGCGGTGTTGCTGCCAAGTTCATCACCAGGCTGCAATGAGTCCACTTCCGTACCCACCATCTTATCAGATTTGACTCCTGTGCACTTCCCCCTTTTCTCAGGGAGGAAGATCCAGCTGAAAGGTTTCCATTTTGACAACAACCAGCACCAATAGCAGAAGTTGCTTGACACGCTTAGAAAAGACTTCTAGGACACATTCCAGAAGTGGCAGGAACGCTGGGAGCGCTGTATTTCTGTGGAAGGGGACTATTTTGAAGATCATAGTGTGGACACTTAGATACATACAGTACTTTCTTGTAAAACTTTCTAGTCTCAAAACTTTTTGATATCACCTCATATTTATGGTTTGGTCTCAGTTCCTAAGTGTAGGCACGCAGAGTTGGCCATTTCTGGCTAGAAAAAGAATACCTAGAAGATTTTGATGCTGTTTTGAAGGCAAAGGGTGGTCACACCAAACACTGATTTAGATTTCTCTTCTCAAAATATGTAAAAAAAAATTGCGCCATGGAAATAAGTGGAAAAAATTAAATGCTGCTGTTCAAGGATTGACTAAACATCAAAAAATATACTAATAAAAATAATACAGAGCAAATAATACAAAAATCAAAACTGTGAAAAAATATACAGTGTTTTTTTCGCTCCATAAGACGCACTTTTTTTCCCCCCAAAAAAGGGGGGAAAATGTCAGTGCGTCTTATGGAGCGAATATAAAGCGGCCGGTCCGGTATTTCTGCCGCCACCATGTCAGAATACCGGGCCGGCCGCTCAGCTCTTCTCTCTTGCAGGGCCTTACCTGTTCCTCGCTCCAGCGCTGTAGTCTTCCCGCGGCGACTTCTGTGACAGCCGTGTGCCCACTGTGCATGTGCTTCGCTTTGTGAATGGTCCGGTGTCTTCTGGGACACATGACAGGTCCCAGAAGGCGCCGGGCCATTCACAAAGCGCAGCGCTTCTCGCGCATGCGCAGTGGGCACCTGGCTGTCACAGAAGCCAGAGCTGGAAGAAGAGGGAAGGACAACTCCGCAGAAGTGGGAGCAGGTACCTGTCAAATTCAGGTACCCGCTCCCCCTCCCTCCCCAAAGGTCTGCAGTCTCTGGTCATCCCCTGCACTGTCTGCAGTCTCTGGTCATGTCCAGTCCTGCAGCAGTCTCTGGTCATCCCCTGCACTGTCTGCAGTCTCTGGTCATCCCCTGCACTGTCTGCAGTCTCCCCTGGTCATCATCCCCTGCACTGTCTGCAGTCTCTGGTCATCTCCTGTACTGTGTCTGCAGTCTCTGGTCCTTCTCCTGTACTCTCTGTCCCTGTCCTGCAGCAGTCTCTGGTCATCTCCTGTACTGTCTGCAGTCTCTGGTTATTCCCTGCACTGTCTGCAGTCTCTGGTTATTCCCTGCACTGTCTGCAGTCTCTGTACAGTCATCTGTACTGTGTCCACAGTCTCTCCTGGTCATCTCCTGTACTATGTCTGCAGTCCATTGGTTCAGAATATTTTTTTTTTCTTGTTTTTCGCCTCTAAAACCTAGGTGCGTCTTATGGTCAGGTGTGTCTTATGGAGCAAAAAATACGGTATATAAAAGTCCAAAGAAAGTCCCAAATTAAAGTCCAATGTCTCAAAAAATGTGAAAAAAATTATAATTTACTCAAACTTCATACATTTTCCAGCTTGCTCACATCTTCTGTGAAAAGCATTTCATTTATCCATAGTCACCAAATGCTGTGAGTTCCCAAACTAGTATAGCTTTAAGATGCAAAAAGGCAAGCCTGCAGGTGGGGAGTGGTGTCCTCAGAGATGATATAACTATGTGATTTCCCGCAGACTCTCCTTCCCAGATATTTCCTCATATAGTGATAAACATAAAAGAAAAAGATGCCAATGATATATTGCTATGTACCGATAAAAAATATATTTTATAAAAAATGCCAAAAACACCTTCCTTACACTCACATAAGGTAATTAACCTCCCTGGCGGTATGATTATTTCAGATTTTTGGTACTGAAAGCGGTACCATTATTTTGCATGGAAATATGTAGTTTTTTTACTGTAGGCCTGTAATTTTTTAGGAATAACTTACTGAAATCTGTCCGAACAAGAGTTTAGTAAACATCCCGGGTATGATAAAACTTGAAACACAAAATCATAAATTATAATTTAATAAATAATTATAAATAATAATATAATAATATTAATAAATTTCAATAATATAATCAAACCAAAAACACTGAAATGTGAAATATAGCGCCAAGTTCGCATATCGCTGAGCAAGGTCGCAAAATCGTTTTCAGTGTCTGATGAGGAATTTTCCCCACGAATCATTATCACTCAATTCTGCAAGTGGTTATGATTTACTATCGCTGTTCTCTAGCCGGTCTAAAACCGCGTCTGACCTAAAGGGACGCTTTTTGGACGCCATGGACGTTTCTCAGTTTCCAGGCAGAAAGAACAGTAAAAATGCAGGCAGGGCGCCGGACAAAGCACTCGGAACAAAATGTATGTGAAATGGGTTGAAACAGCAATGTTTTACTATGTAAAATTTGTTTGGAAAAAACTGACATTTTTTTTAAAGTTTCAAATTTCCCGCCGCCGACGGCGCCCGTACGTCCCGACGTCACAGGGACCGGAACACAGAAGCCGGATGCCGGCATCGGCCGGAGGAGATGGCCGGGGACGCTGCAGGGGGGACATCGCGGGAGCGCAGGACAAGGTAAGCTCTGCAGGGACTCCCAATGCAGAGCCGCATGGTAAGCCGAGTGTAGCTTGGGGGGGTTACCGCTTTTGGCACTGACATTTTACCCCGAGCTACACTCGGGAATACCGCCAGGGAGGTTAAGCACCAATTTTCATAGGATAATTTGATCTCCTAAATCACAGATGGTAATCCACCCTTATCTTCCTCCAAGCTCTCACTCCTTGATGGACGGATGGATGGATAGGGGTACTTTATGACTAGCTTGTTACACTCAACCCTTCGCTCATGATTTCTCAATTTACCTCAAATGCATTCTCATGGATGGATGGATGAAAAAGATGCAAAAGACAAAAATACCAAAATAGTGTAATACTGTTAAAAACTATTTAATACTCAAGTGATGCTCCAAAGGCACTCACATTTTCAAACTGAATGAAAAGCCTTTTTGTATATAAATCAGGACTCCTCAAACTTGTTTCTATAGCCCCTCTAACAATTCCAGCTAGGCAGACACGATTGAACAGCTTCGGCAGTGAAGAACTGGCAAAATTGTGGAATCAGACCTCTTTGCCCACACTAAAGATGGCCGCAGAATGCCGCATCAGCGTGTGTTCCACTCACCGGAAGTTACGTCACACGTACAGGGTCTGAACGGGACGTCATGTCAACGCGTTTCACCTTCCCACAAGGCGTCCTTTAATTTCCATTTTGTTAACTTTTAAAGAAATAAACTATTAACACTTCTATTTCTAAAATTTTAATTTATTGCATTTTTTTAACACCTGCCTAAAACCTTTGCACAATATATCGAAAAGAAGAGTGGTTCTAATGGTCTCCAAATCTATTCTCGATAAAAATCTAGGTTTGACTGGACTTTCACTTTAATTTCTGTTCAACCCTTCAGAATGTGATTCCTTGTTGAGCAACCTTGCCCTCAAGCTTTAGCAGTTAGGACCAGGGGCGGACTGACCATTTAGAAACTCGGGCACTGCCCGAGGGCCCGGGGTCAGTAGGGGGCCCCATGAGATGCCCCTGGTACCTTTTTCATAGGCTTTTTTGAGTTTGGGCAAGGACACAGGGGCCCCATTATCCCCTATTGCCCGGGGGCCCCATGAGTTGTCAGTCCTCCCCTGGTTATCACTTTCCTTTCCTTTTGTATCATGCTATTCCGGTATTGATTTTGATATTCACTTCTATGAAGGTGTCATCCCAAATGGTTTTACAAATTTGTATTGTCTTCCTTGTTTCTTTTTTTTGCAATCTTAAGCCTCCCTGATTATACTTTCTTGTGTGACCTTAAGCCATACTGCATAGAAGCCAAGGTCTCCACGCAATGCACTGATGGTGGCGCCAACATGCCTGAAACAGCTGTATGCACTTGAGAAAATATGTCCCTGTATCTGACTTGTAAACTAGGGGTTCTGGATGTACCATGGACCCTGGGGGGGGGGGGGTAAAGGAATGATTTGTATAACCAGGGCCGGGACAAGGGGTGGGCAGAAGAGGCGGCTGATCTGGGCACAATGGTTTGCTGTAGGGATGAGGGCACCTTCCTTCTAGACAGGAGTAGTGACAGTGGCACTGATATTGACAAGAAAGTGACTGCTGGGCATAGGAACCCCTAAACTTGCATATAATGAACCCGGTGAAGGGGGTGCAGTTTGGGGTCTTTGCCATGGGCGCTGAATTACCTTGTCCCGGCACTGTGTATAACTTATGGCTAATCTATTTTCCTGGAGTCTTGGATATTGTCATTTGAGGTGATCCACAGTCACAGCCTATATCAGCTTTTCTCAACCTTTCCAATGCAGAGGAACCCTTGAAATTAGTTTTCAGTCTCATGGAACCCCTGCTAAATATTACTATATCTACAACTCATGATATATTAGTGTGATGGTCAGTGAGAAATGAATGATCCTTACATTGGTGGTCAGTGGGAAGAATGTCCCTTACATTGGTGGTCAGTGGGAAGAATGTCCCTTACATTGGTGGTGTCACATTGTGGGAAGAATGTCCTTACATTGGTGGTCAGTGGGAAGAATGATCCTTACATTGGTCAGTGGGAAGAATGATCCTTTACATTGGTGGTCATTGGGAAGAATAATCCTTACATTGGTGGTCCTTACATTGGTGGCCAGTGGGAAGAATGGTGGCCAGTCAGTGGGAAGAATGTCCCTTACATTGGTGGCCAGTGGGAAGAATGTCCCTTACATTGGTGGCCAGTGGGAAGAATGTCCCTTACATTGGTGGCCAGTGGGAAGAATGTCCCTTACATTGGTGGCCAGTGGGAAGAATGTCCCTTACATTGGTGGCCAGTGGGAAGAATGTCCCTTACATTGGTGGCCAGTGGGAAGAATGTCCCTTACATTGGTGGCCAGTGGGAAGAATCCCTTACATTGGTGGTCAGTGGGAAGAATGCTCCTTACATTGGTGGTCAGTGGGAAGAATGATCCTTACATTGGTGGTCAGTGGGAAGAATGATCCTTACATTGGTGGTCAGTGGGAAGAATGATCCTTACATTGGTGGTCAGTGGGAAGAGTGATTCCTTACATTGGTGTCAGTGGGAAGAATGACCCTTACATTGGTGATCAGTGGGAAGAATGTTCCTTACATTGGTGATCAGTGGGAAGAATACCCCCTACATTGGTGTCAGTGGGAAGAATGTTCCTTACATTGGAATCAGTGGGAAGAATGTCCCTTACATTGGGGGTCAGTGGGAAGAACTTACCCCTTAGAGATAGCTAAAAAGATCAATGGTGTCAGCGGGAACTTATCTGAGAGGCATAATTGCTCAAGGAACCCCTAGAAACCACTACAGGAACCCTGGTTGAGAAATCCTGACCTACATTCTCTGCGTTTTATTTTACTAGGATGTTAGATTTAAAAAATACATTAATGTTATTTTAAAATAAAAAAAATATTTATGGGCTACTTGAAGGCACTATACCTCCGGGTCCAATGCTGTCTTTCCCAGTGTAAATGTTGCCCTTCTTACTTTGGCAGACCCCAAGATTAAACAATCTGCTCAGGCACCGGATATAGTGAATGCAGGGTCTGGGAGACCAGATATAGTGAATTCAGGGTCTGGGAGACCAGATATAGTGAATTCAGGGTTCGGGGAGACCGGATATAGTGAATGCAGGGTCCGGGGAGACCAGATATAGTGAATACGGGGTCCGGGGAGACCAGATATGTGAATGCGGGGTCCGGGGAGACCAGATATAGTGAATGCGGGGTCCGGGGAGACCAGATATAGTGAATGCGGGGTCCGGGGAGACCAGATATAGTGAATGCGGGGTCTGGGGAGACCAGATATAGTGAATGCGGGGTCCGGGGAGACCAGATATAGTGAATGCGGGGTCCGGGGAGACCAGATATAGTGAATGCGGGGTCCGGGGAGACCAGATATAGTGAATGCGGGGTCCGGGGAGACCGGATATAGTGAATGCGGGGTCCGGGGAGACCGGATATAGTGAATGCGGGGTCCGGGGAGACCGGATATAGTGAATGCGGGGTCCGGGGAGACCGGATATAGTGAATGCGGGGTCCGGGGAGACCAGATATAGTGAATGCGGGGTCTGGGGAGACCGGATATAGTGAATGCGGGGTCCGGGGAATGTGAATGCGGGGTCCGGGGAGACCGGATATAGTGAATGCAGGGTCCGGGGAGACCGGATATAGTGAATGCAGGGTCTGGGGAGACCGGATATAGTGAATGCAGGGTCCGGGGAGACCGGATATAGTGAATGCAGTGTCCGGGGAGACCGGATATAGTGAATGCAGTGTCCGGGGAGACCGGATATAGTGAATGCAGGGTCCGGGGAGACCGGATATAGTGAATGCAGTGTCCGGGGAGACCGGATATAGTGAATGCAGGGTCCGGGGATACCAGGTTTAGTAACACTTAAAGTTCTTTCTTCTTTTCTTACTTGAACTATTATGCATCTGATCTATGCCTTGAGGTGTTATATGATGTACTGACTTGTGTAGTCTTTTAGTTGCTCTGTTATGCGACATGACTGTCTTTGATCATACTTTTTTTGTACTTGTAAACCATAAATAAACATTATATAAAAATAAAAAATTATTTGAAAGCATATAGAATAATGTGAATGGAAGACCATATATACTTTGTTTGTTTTTTCTTGTTGCTGGATTATGTGGCTACTATTTGGCTAATATCCTGCTGGCTGAAAAAAATATACATGAATTGTTCTATGTACTCAACAAATGGATGGCACAATATACGCTGTATTGCCAAAAGTATTGGGATGCCTGCCTTTTCACACACATGACCTTTAATGGCCTCCCAGTCTTATGCAGGCCATAGATGGGGAGAAAAAACGTCAGATTTTTCTTTTAAAAAAACGAAAATTCGGTCGTTCAAGTGGCCGACGTTACCATCAATGGTAAAAAAAATCTGCCGATTTTTCATCCCCTCTACAGCCGGCAAAAAGTGTCCCTGCAGAGAGCTCCGCTATTTCTGACAGTTCCTCTGACAGTTTCCTTGACATTTACAGCGGTTGCAACATTGTATCTATTTGTTTCCATTTAGGATACAGATGTTTTTATACAGAAACAAATAGATACATTGTTGCAACCACTGTAAATCTCAAGGAACTGTCAGAGAACTGTCAGAAATAGCGGAGCTCTCTGCAGAGACACTTTTTGCTGGACTGGAATTCTCCTCCTCCTTCTTCTCCTTCTCCTTCCTCCATTTTTATCCCAACTTTACCGAAAAAAAACGGCCAAAATCCCGAAAAACGGCCGACCAAATCGCCCACTAATGATCCGAAAATCGGCCGATTTTCGACCCATCTATGGCCTGCATTAGTCCGTAGGGTTCAATATTGAGTTGGCCCCGCCCTTTGCAGCTGTAACAGCTTCAACTCTTCTGGGAAGGCCGTCCACAAGGTTTAGGAGGGTGTCTATGGGAAGGTTGGACCATTCTTCCAGAAGCACATTTGTCAGGTCAGGCACTGATGTCGGGGGAGGAGGCCTGGCTCACAGTCTCCGCTCTAATTCATCCCAAAGGTGTTCTGTGGGGTTGAGGTCAGGACTCTGTGCAGGCCAGTCAAGTTCCTCCACCCCAAACTGGCTCCTCCATGTCTTTATGGACCTTGCTTTGTGCACTGGTGGGCAGTCATGTTGGAACAGGAAGGGGCCATCCCCAAACTCTTCCCACAAAGTTGGGAGCATGAAATTGTCCAGAATGTCTTCGGATGCCTTAAGAGCTCCCTTCACTGGAACTAGGGGGCCAAGCCCAACCCCTGAAAAACAACCCCACACCATAATCCCCCCTCCACCAAACATTACACTTGGCACAATGGAGTCAGGCAAGTACCGTTCTCCTGACAACCGCCAAACCCAGACATGTCCATCGGATTGCAGGACAGAGAAGTGTGATTGGTCACTCCAGAGAACATGTCTCCACTGCTCTAGAGTCCAGTGGTGGCTTGCTTTACACCACTGCTAATCTGAAGGTCAAATGAAGTTTGGAGTTCTTTAGCTATTGACTCTGCAGACAGTTGGCGACTTCTGCGCACTGCGCTTCAGCTTGCGCTGACCCCGCTCTGTCATGTGACGTGGCCTACCACTTGGTGGCTGAGTTGCTGTTGTTCCCAGTTGCTTCCACTTTGTTATAATCCCACTAACAGTTGAGCGTGGAATATTTAGTAGCCCGGAAATGTCACGGATGGACTTATTGCCCAGGTGGCCACCTATCACGGGACCACGCTTGGAGTCACTGAGCTCCAGAGAGCGACCCATTCTTTCACCAATGTTTGTAGAAGCAGTCTGCATGCCTAGGTGATGATTTTATACACCTGTGTCCATGGAGGTGATTGGAACACCTGAATCACATGATTTGGAGGGCGGGAACAATACTTTTGGCAACAGAGTGTATAATAGCTGCAGGTAAGGACTCTCCGGTCAGGACATTCTTCAAGAACAATATGGAGCTGATTCTGAAATGTCCTGTTTCTCAAACTGGTTCTCAATATGTGTAAAAGGCCATTTATGTAAAATCTGAACAACCATCTGTAAACAGGGAGGAGCCTTTGAAACAATCTGTCTTTGATATATAATGTCATTTTACCATCTCCACCCTAATTTCACAATAATTGCCCCATTTAGCAGCATAACGTGCACAATTAACACATGCATGAGACTTTATGCCATCGTGGGATGGGATTATGCTATTAATACCTGAAACGGGGGATTCAACAAATTTTTACAACTCGCATCTGGTTTGACGCATTCCATGGTGATTGAATTAGGGTGACGCATGTGGATATAAATGTTGGAGTATGCTGACACTCATAGAAACAAAGAAAAGTGACCAAAGGGTTGTTTTCCTTTGCGTCTTTAAAGGTTCTTTGTGGTATAAGCAAGAAATCAATGAAACCTTTGTAGTGTATTAATGTTCTTAAACAAAACGCTGTACATACAAAATATTTTCAGTTCTAGGAATACAATGCAAGGCTGACAGCTATGCATACAACAGGCATGGACATGCCACCTCAAATGAGACTAATAGTCAAATAGTCTGTGTACAATGGGAATATGCGAAAAGTTACTTAGCTCAGGTTATAGTGGCTTCGCGATATCCATAGGCAACCAAGGACTAGAGGCTCTACTCTACAAGTGATTGCAAGAAATTATGCAATAGCGCCATCCTCAGGTGAAGTTTCTTCTGGCTCAGAACATCCTTGTTGTTATGCTATGATTGCATCCTCAGAACTTGGCTGTGTGGTCCTTTTTCCCTCCCCTTACTTCCTGCCTACATCACTTCCTGGCCTGAGCTTCATGAACCAGTCCAACAAGTTCATTAGCATATGAATAGGGGAAGCCTAGCTTCCAAAAAGAATACATGGTCTTAAAATGTTATTCCATAGTTATGCTATAAAAGTCACCAAAATAACACAGTGGTCCATTTTTGTTTTCAGTTTCTGTATTTTTTTTTCAAACTGAAGAATTGGCTTAGGGAAGCGACAAAACATCTTCAGCGTTATAGAACAAGTCCCGTTAAAACATGACTAACTATTACTAGATAGATTTTGGCTAATGCTGGTTCAGCCATTGCCTACAACCAGTAGCTAATAAGCATTCTCACTTTGAAAATGATTTTTTTCTGGCTCTAAAGTATGTTTTATTAGGTAAATATTTCATCAAATAATTAGTAATTATTTATAATTGATTGGCTAGTTAGAATTAATTAAAACTATCTACTATAATAAACATTCTGATAAAGTTCCTTTTAATTACAAGATTATTTGCCCTTTTTACTATTTTTGTTTTCTGGAAAAATTTAATTACAGTTGTAATTAAAATGTTAAACTGCTGAATTGTTTTCCGTTTTCATAGTAAACAATCACGATTTTCATCTTCCTCCATCCATCAATCTCTTCAGACTGCAAAACAACTGGGATCCAAGAAGAAGAAACAGAGAATTTACTGATGGAATAATTAAGTAGATAAATGTTATAAATCACTTAAGTAAAAAATGTCAAATATATTAGGAAATATCTTCTATAT